AATTTATGCGTTCTACTAGGTTGGCATCTTGGTCCTGTCGAAACAGTTAAAAGTAACCGCCTCTTCTACTTCAACAGATTCTTCTCTCGCACTTCCCGGCAGTGGAGCTCTCTTCCTCTTACTTGCTTCCTTGATAACTATAATCTTCAAAAATTTAAATGTGATGTCAATTGACATCTTCTTCTGCCTTGATCTTCATTCCCGTCCTTCTCTTCATGCTTTCCTCAAACACGCCCCTCTTTTAATATCACTCTGTTTAACCCCTTGCGAGCTAATGGCAATATCTCTTTGCTTGGGGTGATATGCTTAAAAATATATATATATCTGTTTTGTCATCTATTTACAGACCTTGTTATTTTGGCTTTTACCTCTGTAGATTTCAATATATCTAGTGAGTGTTAAATTTTCCAAAACCTCTTTATTAATAATTGTTGAGGGGTCCACCCCTTTTTATACAAATGAACTCACCCAGTATATATATATACTACTGCAAGAGCGAGACGAGAGTAAGACGAAAGCAAGACAGTCGAGTCGAGTCGAGTTGAGAGTGACTGAGTAAAAGGTTGTAGGTAACCGGAAGAGTGAGGGTGAGGTAACAGCGTTGTAGGAGTCACAGTGAATGAGCACGTAGACTCAGTAAGAAGTCATACAGCGATACTTCAATACCAAAGACTGTATATATATTTTGATACTAACACGTATTCCTGGAACTACTAACCTGCTTTACCAGTTTGTATTATTACGTTAATACATTATTTTCATATATTCATTCCTGGAGTTTGTTATCTATTGGTACCGGATTTCAACCCGGAATCCACAACAATAATGTATTTCAGAAATTTTAATCATCACTTTGTGATTATATTTATTAATGAACTTTTCGTTTCAATTAAAATTTTCTCGTCCTTCTCATATTCCGTCTCTGCTATCTTCAGCATAGAAATAATTGTACAGAAGATTGGATTTACATAGCAGAAGCAGCATTCTTTTCTTTGTTTCTAATGAAGACTTTTTATAAAGAGTGCTTAATCAATGAGCTTCACAGATGAGAATTCTTAAGCAAATTTCTAAAGCTGTTTGTGAAGATTGTATAAAATCTCAAGAAACCATATGTGAACGTTAAAGCTGAATAATTAGCCGATGTCTCAGGAGAAGTAAGTTATGATTAATACTAGAATATGTATTGCATATCAGGCATTCTACCCTTTCCACATTAGCATAAACACCACTATTTATTCAGTATTTATATTGTATTTATTCTGTATCTATCTATCTATATCTTTCTCTCTCTCTGTCTCTCTCTGTCTCTCTCTGTCTCTCTCTCTATATATATATATTTGTATATATACATAAAAGCATATATATATATATATATATTTATATATATATATATATATAGAGAGAGAGAGATTGAGAGAGGGAGGGTGATAGAGACATTTTTTTTATTATTTCTTAAACGTTAATTAAATTGGATACTCATATCTCATACTTCCTAACAAGATTTCTCTAATATTCAAGTCGGGAGATGTAAATAAATAAATTACTGTTTATTGAATGAATAGAAACAGACTATCTATTCAAATACGAGTATACATTTAAAATAACGTTTAAACAAATAAATAAAAAATCTCCCCACTGTCCCACTCAATCCCACTCTATTTCTCTCTTTCTTTTCTCTCACTATATATATATATATATATATATATATATATATATATATATATATATATATATATATATATATATATATATATATATATATATATATATATATATATATATATATATATATTTAATATATATATATATATATATATATATATATATATAAGATATATTTCGAGAGATGAAACTTGAGTGTGGATGAAAAAAATAAAACCTGAAAATACATAATTACCTTCCGAGTATCCGATACCTATCCACAAAAACAAAAAAAAAAAAATGAAAAAGTAAAAATATCCCACGTAAACAACTTAAATAGAGCTCACACCATTGCGATTGGCTGTTGGTCAACTTCCAATCAAATGCGTGGTAGCGGGTTATGGTTTTCCTAATGTAAGTCAGTGTCTTCAGGCTGTAAATTTAGATCGGAGCGCATCAAAGACTGGTGAGGGTAGTATGATGTTTGAAAACCAAGAAACTGCCCAATGATCCAATTCAGATCATCACTGACGACGCCTTCTAGCGCTAAAGAGCGTATATTCAATACTATATATATATATATATATATATATATATATATAAATTTGAACAAGGGAATGACTCCTATCCAAAATATAGAAGGAGAAAACCAGAAGATGGAGGTCACCACGGCAAAATCCTTGAGTAATACTGAAATGTATCATTTTTCCTTATAAATTATAACAATAATTTTTAAATCAATCATTATTTTCGAAAAAAAAAATGGTGACACTGAGCAAGGCAGGGCTAATTCGGCTAGTATATATATATATATATATATATATATATATATATATCAATCTATATACGTATCTATATATAGATATTTCAATCTATATATATATAGATAGATAGAGAGATAGATATACATATATCTTTATATATATATATATATATATATATATATATATATGTGTGTGTGTGTGTGTGTGTGTGTGTGTGTATGTATATCGATATATATATATATGCAATTATATAAATACCATACGTGTATATATTAGTGTATATCATCTTCTGCCTTGCTTGCGACGAAATGATTAAAAAATTTCAAACATTTTCTGCGTAACTCACAAAGGTTTCTTCCATGGAATCAAACTACCATCACTCCCTACCCTTTCCAACTTTAAGGATGAAGTTCCACTTTGTTCTGCCAAGAACCGCTGACTTTTGAAAAAGGCTCCCGCCTGAATGCTTCCCCGTATCCTCTTAAAATCAATCAATGGTCAATCTTTGCCCATTCTTCATATACACACCATCCTTTCTTCCTACTTTGCAGTCTTGCGTTCAATGTACGTGTGTATTTTTCATTATTTAAAGATGCTTTCTTTTTTCCTTTGTTTATCCAGCATCCTTTCATCTTTCCGTTTTTAGGATTTAGGGAGCACAGAAATCTTCCATAATTTTCATTGTCTTAATCGATTTGGCCATTTCTGTAGCGATTTTCAAAACAGATTAAACGAAAGCGCCAGAATAAAAGACTTAAGAATTTCTACACTCATTTCGTCCAGAAATGAAAAGACCTTTTATTTAGATTGTTTACATGCTGACTAATATCCTCATCTCTGTTGTTGTTATCCCAACGTTTCAGGTGTATGTCGATCCGGATAACCAACAGGGAATAAATAAAGAGAATTCCCTGTAGATTACCCTATCAACGTACACCTGATGTTAGCTGAAGGCACAAGAATCGGCACGTTGTGTAGGAAACAACAATGAGGAGGACAATAGTCCGCATATAAATAGTTTAAATAATGATAAATTTTCGTCTCAGAAATTCAGAAAGGAAGAAAAAATGTAAACACGTGCTTCCATACGTGAAAATACAAGGCAAAAATCCTTTTCCAAAATACTCTATCAATCCTGTTTAAGAAGACCTGCATAAAAGAGGGAATGCTGCACACACACACACACACACACACACACACATATATATATATATATATATATATATATATATATATATATATATATATATATATATATATATATATATATATATATCCTCTTGTGTGTGTGTGTATATAAAATATATATACACACAGACAGAAGAGGTTATAGTTGCCCCAACGAGAGAAAAGTGTATATATTAAAAAAGAGAAACCGAAACGTATTTGGTTGTAATGCGGATTTTAATATATATATATATATATATATATATACTATCTTTTATTTTCCATAATATATATATATATATATATATATATATATATAGATATATATATATATACATCTTTTATTTTCCATAATATATGTATATATATATATATATATATATACTATCTTTTATTTTCCATAATATATATATATATATATATATACTATCTTTTATTTTCCATAATATATATATATATATATATACTATCTTTTATTTTCCATAATATATATATATATATATATATATATATTATATAATATATATATATATTTATATATATATATATATATATATTTTCATATATATATATATATATATATACATATATATATATATATATATATATATATATATATATATATATATATACTATCTTTATTTTCCATTATATATATATATATATATATATATATATATATATATATATATATATATATATATATATATATATATATATATATATATATTATGGAAAATAAAGATAATATATATATATATATATATATATATATATATATATATATATATATATATATATATATATATATAACCTTTCTGCTTTCCCACCATGAGATCAGGGGTTCGATTCTCAGCATGGTCGATGTTATCAGAAAGGGGTCGAGGTCAATCTCAGCGAGCGGCGCCTTTGGAAAGTGCCTGCAAACCATACTACGGGTTGACCTAAGCCTTGCGAGTGAAATTGATAGACGGAACTCTTCACCACGCTAGATAACACGCTTTCTCCCAGAAAATGTAAATACGCTCTGCTCATCATATTTGCAGTATAAACCACAGTGTGTTGAGCAAACATAAATGTGCCTGAGCAAGCGTCTGCAATAAGGATTGGCTTGCCGCCCTAGTGGACGGACATCCTCGAATACGAGTGGCTAATTATATATATATATATATATATATATATATATATATATATATATATATATATATATATATATGTATATATATATATATACACGAGTGATGTGCGTTGTTGCGTATGGATATATGTGCGGAAGAAAACAGTTTCTTCTCTCTATAAGCGATTGAAAAGGAAAAAAAAATCACCTGTTCGCACATCTTAGAATATTTGCATAGGTACAAATGTAAAAACTATTTTTTAAAGGATTTGCTAAATTTGTGAGAAATTTCTTTTCTGTACCAGAGCAATATGCGTCTATCTATCTTTTACTTTTTTCCTTTCTTTCTTGCTTTCTTTCTTTCTTTCTTTCTTTCTTTCTTTCATATTTTTTCTCATTTCTTACTTTCTTTCTTTCTTATTTCTAACTTATTTGTCACTTTCTTTCTTCCTTCCTTTCTTTCTTCTTTCTTTCTTTCTTTCTTATTTCTATCTTATTTCTTTCTTCTTTTTTTCTTTCTTCTTTCTTTCTTTCTTTCTTTCTTCTTTCTTTCTTTCTTTCTTATTTTTTTCTTATTTCTTACTTTCTTTCTTTCTTTCTCTCTTTCTTCCTTCCTTTCTTTCTTCTTTCTTTCTTATTTCTTTCTTCTTTCTTTCTTTCTTTCTTTCTTCTTTCTTTCTTATTTCTTTCTTCTTTCTTTCTTTCTTTCTTTCTTATTTTTTCTTATTTCTTACTTTCTTTCTTTCTTTCTTTCTTTCTTTCTTTCTTCCTTTCTTTCGTTCTTTCTTATTTCTTTTTTTCTATCTTATTTCTATCGTATTTCTTTCTTTCTTATTTTTTATTATTTCTTTCTTTCTTCTTTATTTCTTTCTTATTTCTTATATATCTTTTCCTTTTTTTTCATCGAGTTTACTCCTAGCAAGGGAGGAAAGCCACTAAGACGCAAGGAATTTAATTGGTGAGTGAGATTTAGAAAACGAAAACATTACTAAAGATCGAGAACAAAAAAGCGAGATCAAGAAGTCAGTAGATAGCGATTGACTATCCACAAGCGGGAAGTGCGAGAAAAGAATCTGTTAGTATAGAACTTAAGGTTACATCAAACCAACTCAGTTTTAAATTGGTGAAACCGCGTCACCAGTTTAGTGCTGCGCTTCAAAAAGTCTAGTTATCCTAGCAAAGGTCACATCCGAACATTTGCCAAGAAATTGTTTATAAAAAACGCACATGGAGGTAACTTTAAGGCGGTGAGAAAGTGACTGATAATGAGACACAAGATGTGGATCAATAATATTATTCGTTCTTCTTTGGATTTTATCAAATCTCTCTCTATATATATATAACAGGAACACTAGAAAATATAAGGCAGCAATATGCTCGTCATGGACGAATGGTAGACTTATATATATGCAAGATAGATTCTGGAGAGAAAAATTGTCTAGAAGAACACAGTGGATCAACTTTTTTAGTAGCTGACCTGACAATAGATTCGATAAAATATTTCTACTTCCCGTCCGTCGATAACGTTATCCCCAGAAGACGCAACGAGTCACTCACCTAGAGGTTAGCATCAGCCATGCTCATGGAAAGCAGAAATGTGTCTCTCAGCTCATTAATAGAGAACATTTTACTTTTGCAGGCGTTAAAATTAACAAGCCATCATTTGCCCCATTTAACAACAGACTGAAGGTTGTTTTTCACATAAGCCGACAATTTCACATTATCCGACTGGTCAGACTTAACATCGCGACAGGAGTAAATGATTGTGTCATTAGCATAGCTACCAAATTGAGAGCTATTGCCACCGGGAATGAAAATTAAAATCGAGCATGGATAGAGCCTTGAGGGACACCTGCATAAGTACAAAAGAGTATAGAGGAGTGGCCGTTCAGGAAAACGCATTTCAGGATTTGATATAAAAAAATGGGTCAGTTCAAAATTTTGGCCGGAAACGCATTTCAACTGTCACAAACATTCGAGGTGTCCAAAGCAAAAGTCCAAGCTTCACCATTCGTATCTAGAGTTTGATAGACTCTTTTAGAAATAGTCGTCAGTACATCAACAGGTAACCAGGAGAAGTGAAAGCTATATTACTTGTCTGAAAGAATGTCCTGCGATTTGAGATCCTTAATCATTTCAGCATTGATTAGGGCCGCTAGTAGTTTTCCAAAAAGCGATCGAAGCTTAATAGGTCGATAATTGGAAGGGTCAGGCAGTTCACCTAAGTTCTGGAAGAACAGATGAGGCTTTCTAGCACAGAGGAAAGCAAGTGGCGGCGAGGCGTTTATTGTATAGTTGTTATGATCCTGTTCCTTGTACCACGGTGATAGTCCAAGGTAGAACCAATAAAGAAGAACTCGAACACAGGTATGGAATAACACAGATATATTACAAACAGGAATATATACAGAGAAGTATAAAGTGTTAGTACGAACAATCAGGTTTAGTAGGGAGAACAATGTCGTCTCGACCAGTATCACTATTCCAATGTCTTGTAGTAATTGTCTGAACGCGACTCGTTTCGGATTGCCTCTGACTGATTGACTCGCTCTGATTTACTGATAGACTCCTGACGGACTTCTGACGGACCTCACTCCAGGCTTCAGAATGAACGGTATTTAGTCACCCCCCCCCAACGAGGGCATCATGTGGCGCAAGGCCGGTTTAATGTGAGAACTCCGAGCCCGTGGGCTCGGCCAAAAATATGCCCTTTTAACCCATATAAACCTGTCGGTTTACCTCCCCGAAAGAGAATCCGCCCTTCGGCGTAGCCTCCTTCAGGTTCCTTCCCGCCCGAAGGCAGAGAGTTCAACCGATCAGCCGTTCAGCCGGTCGCCCGACTTCGGACTGAACTCTCTGCTTCCTCTTGAGGCGCAGTATTTATTACGTATGGAATAGTCCATTATGTTATTATGGGTAAGGTTCCATAATAATAGTTTAGAGAGAATAGAGGTTAGTTCGAAAGCACAATTTTTAAGGATTACGACAGAGATACCATCAGGTCCAAATGTCTAGTGGGGATCCAGATTAGAGATGTTAGCATAAACCATAGGTGTCACATGCGTATGACAACAGAGACTCAGTTTTAAGTGGAAAGTTAGGCGGATCAGTCAAGAGTAGAGTTTAAGGAGAGTTTAAGGGCGAAGCTTTCAGATTTATCAGCGGAAGTTTTTACCACCTCAATCTGATAATATATATATATATATACGGATTAACAACATTTTACAAGTTTAAAACCAGAAAATATTTTTAAACTGTAAAAAGTTTTTGGTGATAAAATGATATTTTACTGATTCCGGTTACACTAATTAAACTATAGCAGTGGGAAATAGACGGTTTCCAACCTTTCCCAAGGATAATTACGCGTAAATAAATATAACGAACACGACTGGAATTCGAACTTGGCGGTTCAGAGAATTACAATTCTGAGCCGTTATGCATTATACCAATCTCATGTACCAGCTTACAGCGTCTTGTATTCCCAAGTGCCCATCCATTTCGGTACTGATCACTTTCAAGGTTGCTTAACTTCAGTGATCTTACGAGAACCGGCGTATTATGTAAGCTGAATCATAATGGAAAATTTGGAAGAATTCAGATTGACATGATGTGCCAGTAATCTGGCGTTAGCTGAACAAGAAAATTATTTGAACAAGCCGAAATCTATATTACCGCATCGATATGTTGTTTCTTAAGGATATTGTTCACCCAATACAGGACCCAAGATCCACTCAAGTTAGAAGGCATTCGATTGATTGCGCAAGGGTAGTAATAAAGAAGCTCATATTATAAGCATGAGTGGGATAGATAAGAATTGATCCTAGATTTGGAGATTTCAAGATCTTACAGCTCCCTTTCAGGTGATTGTTCCACAACGGAATATGTATGGAAATGATGCCTAATGAGTGCACAGTTTGTTTCACAATTGTCGAAACAAAGCAGCGGCCTCTCAGATGGGGAGATCTCGAGGAGCCTGAAAACCTTGCTGAGTTCAAGATCCAGAATTTTGCTCCTTCTCACAATGCTAATGATACCATGGCATGGCTTCGTGAAAGGTTTGACGTGCGACTCATTAGCCGCATAGCTGAAGTGGAATGAGCACTTCAATTACCTGATCTTAGCACCACCCTCTATATTTCTTTCTCTGGGGGTTCCTCAAGGACAACATCTACCAGGGCAACCCTCGCAACATTGATGCATTGAAAGCAGTCCGAGAGTACATGTTCCCGATGTCCGTCGTCCAGTTGAAGGGACTGTTGAATGCAAAGTTGTTAACACGTGTACTGGGTGATCGTTTGAATATTCTCAGTGGAGACTACTTTCAATGCAGCTATAGTTACCCTAGTAGATGCCGTTCTTAAGCAATAGGAATATAAATGGTTACAGATCCTAAAATGTTATCCTTTTACCTTAATACAATTACCCATTACTCTATCATTTAGGGTCCTTGATTTGTGCCGGATCACTTTGTTTCAAAAATTATGAAACACCTTATTTGTTCCTCCTTATCAATGGAATAATAAGGGAGCGAGAATAACGTGGCATGTTGGGCCTATATGTAAATGTCTGAAATGTGACTTGCTTTTTAAAAGAAAATATTACCAAACTTATGTAATATCAGTCCTCCTATTTAACAGTGGATGCTGAACAGCCTCCTCTCAGATCAAGAAGAGACTTGTCAGCTACAGAAAGGTGGTTCTATGGATGGATACCGAGAATACCATGAATCAAACACGTGAGAAACAACAAAGGCTTAGAAAAAATGAAGACAATAAGTTTGACACTATAAAAGGTTCACAGGTTGTAGTTGAAAGGAATGTGACACTAACGTGATATTACTAGTATTGAAATAGCATTGAAAGGGTTCATGTGCAAGCTCCGTATAAAATTAGAGCATTAGGCGGGTTGAAAACGTAAAGAAAGTTAAGGTGAAAAACATGAATTGAAATATGAAGCCAAGGAAAAAAGTATGAAATGCGTTTTTTTTTTACTCTCTGATGAACAGAAACGCCAAATGGAATGTTAAGTCCAAAATAAGCAGGAGCAAATCAAACTTGTTATGAATATAAAAAGGAAGAAAAAATAGTGGAAAAATCCTTGTCAATTTGAAATAAATAATTTTGTTTGAAAACTTGACTGCGTTGGTATTTGAAGGTCATTGTCGACCGAGTACTGAATTTAACTAAAGCTAAATATGTAGACAATGGGATTTTAAATTGTGTCGAGTTTTGGAAATCGACAAGCAAAGAGAATTTATTGGAATCAAAATGAAAATTCCTTAGAAATAATTTTTTAAAAGAGCTGACGGGAAAAATTCATGTATTGCTATAACGGCCGATTGTCACAAACAATGTGTAAAACAAAGTTTATTGTTTTGAAATTCTAGATCTCTTTCTTTAGGTTCGATGTCATGTCTCTAGGGTTGGAGAAAACAATTAATTGATGAATACGGAATGAGCTTTGAGGAGTGAAGAAAGTTGAGTCAGATGCAAATAAAAACGAAACGATCGGTTGAAACCGTCAGAGACATTCGCAGTTTGAGCGAGGGACGATCAGAGACCACGAGAAGCAAGCAGAGGGAACCAGAGCCGGTTTTCGGGAGAGGCTCTTAAATGTTTAAGCCTTTCCAAGTTTTAGAAGCAGAAATACAGTGTTAATTTGGTTGTATCAACAATTATAAAAATCCAATTGATAATTAATCCAGCGAGCTTCTTCGTTATTTGTTATGATATTTGTGTTTTGACCGGCGGAAACATTCTTACCCTTTTTTATAGCACGGTTCTGCAAACTCTATTCAGCGCATGCCGTTTCAAAAAGTTATTGTGGTGTGATTTGCATCATGGCTGACTTTTTCTCGCAGATGGTGCCCAACTGACGTTACTATTCAGTGCAATCTATAAAATAAAATTAAAAAACATACAAAGCAAATGCGTGAAATAAAAAATATAATATGGCGTCAATTTACCCATCGCACCTTGTGTGTGTGTGTATATATATATATATATATATATATATATATATAAATAAATAAAATAAAAATGTGGTTTTAAGAGATGGTGCTATATTTATCGGTAAACGTGCTCAATATCAGGGATAGAGATAATGTAAGTATGAAATTGGACACGGAGGTCAACACAGAGCAGCGGCACTGTTTCTCATGCTTGACTTTCATGTTCACTTACACACACACGCACGCACACACACACACACACATATATATATATATACATATATATATATGTATGTGTGTGTGTGTGTGTCTGTGTATATCTATATATATCTAGAATATAGTCTTAAGGTTTGCTATATTTATGGGATAAAGTGCTCAATATCAGAGATAGAGCGTGTATAAATATTAATGTGAACATTGAAGTCAACACTTAGAGGCGACAGTCTGTTTCACCAGGCCTGACGATATCATCTAGCATGAAACAGACTGTCGGCTCTAACTGTTGGCTTCAATTATCAACGGATAATCATTGCCCTGATTTCTTTTATATATATATATATATATATATATATATATATATATATATATATATATATATATATATACACTATTTAGTCAGTTTGTCTTCTTACGTAGTCTAAATGAGGATAATTGTTTTTTTTACCAAGATCCGAAGATAACTATTGTATTTGCATCCTGAGTTTGGAAAAAGGCCACAAGTATGGGGCTCTCATTTAGGACCAAACTTTACAAAAGGAAAAAAAAACTTGGTAAACATTTCACCACGCTGAGTACCCGAAACTACAATTGTATAGATCTTATCTATCGTAAAATTAGTGAAAGTGTTTGCCTCGATTTGGACGGCTACTTTTGTAACAAGTGAGAAATTGGTACATATCTGAGACATCAAGTAGATTCTATGTTTAGCTAAATCTATTTAAATAACATAAAAGTGATATGAACCGGACGTTTATTTTCTCTTCTCTCTCTCTCTCTCTCTCTCTCTCTCTCTCTCTCTCTCTCTCTCTCTCTCTTCGTTTTTTTCGTACATATGTGTTAAATGTTTTCATGGATATGAATTTAGTTGCCGTGCAGGTGATTACTCAAAATAAGTGACCTTTTACCAAAGAAAATACACTCTTAGCATTTCGTTTTTTAATGATTCAGTGGAAAGCTCCTAACTCGTTTCGTTCACGAGTTTTCCGTTTTGCTCACTGCAGAGCACATATGAAACTGTGAAAGAATAAGCGCCTTTTCAACTTGATTATATCATGTACCTTGTCATGGAAATCTGTATTCTTGATTGTTCATTGATCACGTTCATGTAAGTGCGATTGGATATTGATTTATTTCTGTCATTTCATCTTGAAAAGACAACGAAGAAATCAACGGATAATCATTGCCCTGATTAACTAAAAAACAAAAAAAACACGAAAAGTAAAAGATTGAAATTGTGACTACGAAAATAAACATCACAGAGAATGCTGAGTAACATTTCATATAATCTTGATGATGAGAGCAAATCTAATATTGATGTAAACGTGACGATAACAAGTCTTATTGAGAACAAGTTCTGTTCTTACTCGAAGATCAAAATGCCTCAAAATAGTTTCTATAAGGAAAAGAAATGGAAATCGAAAAAACCGAATCGTTTTGTGCATAAAAAAACAAAAAAAAATGTAAGGTTTTAGGAGAGCAAAAAGAAAAAAGATTGCAACAAAAGAGAAAGAAGCTGGCGAATATCTTAAAGCAAGTATTAAATTTCTATTAAGGGGGGCTAAATCTAGAAATATTACTGTTTTTAAAGTTATGTTTTTCGTGCTTTTTACAATGTTTTTTTTATTAAAATGGCGGCAGGTTCAAAGCTGGGTCGTGAAAAGACGAGAGTTTGCATGAATGGATAACTGAACAAAGACAAAGAGAAATTTTGAAGTCAAAAAATAATTAACACAACAAAAGTTGTAAAGAAACAAGAAGGTCCATGTCTTGAAAGGACACGGTAAATAAAAGAACAACAATGTACTATCGCTTAACAATTTCTTTTGGTACCCGTCGCTATTCTGAGGCGCCTTGTTACACTCGATAATCTCAGTATCTTTCTATATTTCTGAGATGAGATATTATGTACACTGTTTACATTATTCGGACTATTATCCTCATCTTTGTTACCATATTTATCCGATCCTTTAGTATCTATCTATATTTCTGAGATTAGGTATTATGTACACTATTTAGATTATTCGGACTATTGTCCTCATCTTTGTTGCCATATTTATCCGATCCTTCAGTATCTGCCTATATTTCTGAGATGAGGTATTACGTACATTATTTACATTATTCGGATTATTGTCCTCATCTTTTTTTGTCATTTTTATCAGATACTTCAGTATCTGTCTATATTTCTGAGATGAGATATTATGTACAATATTTACATTATTCGTACTATTGTCATCATCTTTGTTTCCATTTTTATCAGATACTTCAGTATCTGTCTATATTTCTGAGATGAGATATTATGTACGCTATTTACATTATTCGGACTATTGTCCTCATCTTTGTTGCCATATTTATCCGATCCTTCAGTATCTGTCTATATGTCTGAGATGAGCTATTATGTACAATATTTACATTATTCGGACTATTGTCCTCATCTTTGTTGCCATATTTATCCGATCCTTTATTATCTGTCTATATTTCTGAGATGAGGTATTATGTACAATATTTACATTATTCAGACTATTGTCCTTATCTTTATTGCCATATTTATTACAATATCTATTATCGATAATCTATATTTTGTTCTATTGTGTTGTTGTACGACACGTGATGAGTAGTCAACATCTTGCTTGTCACTTAGTTTACTATACACTTAGCCTCTAAGTGTTATATGTTGTTTCATATAACATTTGTTTTGCGTTTTAGCTTTTGCAATTTTCGTCCTCGAACTTAACTCTGATGAGAGCGAAATGATAAACCAGTTTAGGTGTTTTTTTTTCTTTTTTTAATATAGTTTTATTTTGTTATGACTATTATACGTTAATATATTCGGGTAGACACCTTCTTTTGATAGAGATTTCTTGTCAGTTTTTGTATTGCTTGCCTCTACACTTCCTACAAGTATCTTTAGAAAGACATGATATTTTCATGTTATCCAAAGTTCAATGTAACAATTCATATATATATATATATATATATATATATATATATATATATATATATATATATATATATATATATAAACCAGAGTTAAATAAAGACTTGGGTATTTTAAATCTTTATAAATATTTCAATAGTTAAACATTTTTTAGATATAGTTATATTTTTTTTATTTTTTTAAACAACATCTAAAATATTATTACAGTTAGATTTACGTTAGGAATATTCAAACACAGTGGCGTTCCATATCACGTGACGTCCGCGTCTCGCGACGGACGCTACTTGTAAACAAACAGTAATTTTTAATTTATTTGTAACAAACAGTTATTTCTGAAGAAAGATTGAGGTCAATCTGAAATATCAAATATATATATAAATAAATAAATACTTTCACAAAAACACATTATTTTTTTTTAATTTGGAACTTTAAGAAAGTATAAGTGGCTTCTCATTATGCTATTTGGACCATATATATGAATGTTCCTGAAATTTCGTAGAAAACATCCATTCTCTGACAGGAATAGAACCTGTATTCCTATAAGGAAACTGTAATTTGACATGACGTGCTGTATCATTTAGCTACAGAGAAGTGTCTGGTTAGCAATTTCCGAATTACTGTTTATAAACACGATTTTTCTCGATCGATCTTCTCTGCTCCTGAAACGTATCTTAACGTAAACAATGACAGCATATCATAAAATGGATTATGTCCGACAATTATTTTATATATTTTCTGGTTATACACTATTTTTATGGATCCATTTTATTTAAGTAAATGCTCTGGTTTTAAATTAACATTATTACTTACATTTACTGGCCTCTCTATAAACAAAAAAATAACATATTCAGTCCTTAGCATTCTCAGCATCCTGCTGTAGAACCATATTTCTGTTTCCTCACATCCTTTCTTTATCTGTGAGGAAATTTTCCAGCATTCCCTGTCATATAAGAGGAATGATATTACGTAGCCGTTCAGTTCTCTTTTCTTTCTTTCTAACGGAATTTTCCTGTTTCTTATTAATTTGCTTAGCTTTTGGAAGGCCACTTTCGTTATCCCAACGCGCCTTCGGTTTTCGGTGTCGCATTTTCCGCCCTCTCTTAAATCACATCCCATATATTTGAACTGTTGTATGTGCTTGAATTTATTAAGCAATAAAATATTACGACAAATATTTCTGTTATTTATTCGCTATCCTATTTTGACGGTAGGAACTTATCGTAAAACGTATTCAACAAATTGTCATAACAATAATAATAACATTAATAAACATTACAGTTGTCGGCAAGTGTGCAATTGATTGAAGGCAATTCAAGCAAACAGCTTATGTGACTTTAGTACACGTCATTGGTACGTAGTTTTGACACGGGAAAGCATCTCAGGATGGTCGCTTTCGGTGTGTTACATTGGAAAAAAAAGACGTTAACAGGAAATGTTCTGCATATTACATTTTCCGGTCAGGTCTTTTTTTGTTCCGGTTTAGATTGTATGCTTATGCCCTGAGAAAGAGAGCTGATTCAGATGACTAAAGATGAATCCCTATTTCGCCATCGACTTTTCTCTACTCTTCATTAAACTTCCGGTATAATATCAGTCAGTCAGTTATGGGCCATGCGTAATACCCGCTTAGGCGACCATGTTTTTTTCGATACATGACGAGACCGGTTTCTTACTGCGATAGATTAGTTGCCATCCAAGACGGTCTGTTTCTTGCTATCTACAGCCATAAACAGAAGAAGAGGATTCATACCTTTCCCAAGGTTATTAGCACGTATTCGTCTGGAATTGGAACTAGGCCCTCCGATTCGTCAATCCGCGATCCAATAATCCACCGTGCCTCCTAAACATATCCAAGGAGATAATAATATTAAATCTGATTTTTTATGAGATAAATAAATATTAACCGCTATTAATTCTGTAATTAGTACTTCTTTCGTGTTAATTGTGTCTACTCATTGATCGCCAATATTGATACGGTAACCATTCGTAAATATTGATAATTTTATAATAGAGTAATATTGATTGCATGAGTATGATGGATTGATTCTTTTTTTGTGGCTTACCAACCCTTTGCAGGTTATTTAAAGCCAGATAATATTTTAGTTCATTAATTCTTTTAGAGATAATAATGATTTAGTGATACAAATATTACGAAACAACCCATAGCTGGGGGAGAAGACCTAAATTCTTATATTTCCAAAGGGCCTGTCTATATCTCTAAGATGAGGTATTATGATTACTTGCATTATTTATACAATTCGGAAAGTTATCCTCATCTTCATTGCCATATTCACGACGTTTCGGACATTGTACGCTCCGGCCTTCAGGTGATTGGAATTTCGAACCGAACGGTCACATATCTATATACTGTACAAGCTCGACGTTGCTTAACTTCGGAGATCGTACGGAAACCGGCAGTATCAACGTGTTATGGCCGTAAGCCATAGTAATATTACCAGTACACATACTACAATTATACTTAAAAAGTAATGACATCAAATACGTCATCGAGTGATCCTGGGTGAATTAAACGTCAATGAAAATTGTTAGATTATATCTTCTTCAACCCATAATGCCTTTCAGCTCATTCTATAAAGAAACTATTAGAAAAAAAAGATTACCTGAGGCAAAAGAGATGTCGGTTCGAATGTGGCTGAGAGCTTATTTTTTCTTCGATTCGCATAGTTTAGTAATGAGGTTTGACTGACAGGGGGAGTAATTGTGATGAAAAGCAAGTATACATTATTTTCGTTTCGCATAGTTTACTAATAACGTTGGTGTTGAGGGGTCTACCCCTTTTCACACAAATGGACTAACCCAGTATATACATATACTACGGCTACGTGAAGACCCGAGAGACCAAGACCGAGGAGTCGAGTGGAGTCCAGAGTAGGTAACCGGAAGAGTGAGGGTGAGGTAACAGCGTTGTAGGAGTCAAAGTGAGTGAGCACGTAGACTCAGTAAGAAGTCATACAGCGATACTTCCATACCAAAGACTGTATATATATTTTGCTACTAACCTGTATTCCTGGAACTACTAACCTGCTTTACCAGTTTGTATTATTACGTTAATACATTATTTTCCTTTATTTATTCATGGCCTTTGTTATTTATTGGTACCGGATTTCATCCCGGAATCCACAACAATTGGATTGACGGGATGGGTAGTTATGGTGAAAACCATGTATACACCCGCGTGCAAATTAATTTAAACAGCTGCTTTAGTTAACTTTCTTTCACCATACGGTCTGATTTAGACCCACTGGTTTGATAGGGAGTAATCGATTTCTATTTTTTCCTTAGACTGGGCCATTTGCAGTGGTGCGCAGTAATATAATCTATTTTAGGGGTGCATGATGAAATTTATTTGCCCTTGAAAAATATTGCCCCCCCCCCCCGTGATTGCATCTGATTGTCATCACGCCCGCGATACTATTATCTCGACTGTCGATTAGTTGTCCTACAGCCATTGTTTGCGATGGACGTTACTCCAAGGAAGCGTACGAAAACTGTAACACTGCACGAACACAATAGCAAGTCTTACCAGTGAGCAAATCAAAGTACTATTGACTGGCCTGGAAACTCTCCTGATTTAAATCCAATCGAGAATCTGTGGACAACCTGAAAGGAAAGACTTCGTGGAATGGACATACTAAGTACTAACATGTGGACTGAGTCATGTTTTATTGGAAAAATACGACAAAAAAGTAAATAATAACGGTATTATTCGTTTTGTTTCCATTAATTTGCACAAGGGTGTACATTAGTTTCGATTTGCATAGTATACTAATGTCGCCTAATTTACTAATGTCATTGGACTGACAGGAGGATTAGGTGTGAGGAAATGCAAGTATGCATTATTATCTATTCTCATAGTTAACTAATGACTTTAGACTGGTAGCATGGGTAGTTATGGTGAAAATGAAGTATTCATTAGTTTCGATTTGCATAGTTAACTAATGTGCATTTGACGGGATACATTATTTACGATACGCATTGTTTACGAACGACGCATAATTTACTAATGTTGTTGGACTGACGATATCAGTAGTTGTGAAGAAAAGCGTGTATATATTATTATCGATTCACATTGTTTACTAATGACGCTGGACTGAAAGGATAAGTTGTGCTAATAAGCAAGTACACATTTTTTTTACGATTCGCATAGTTTTCTAATGCCGTTCGATTGTCGGGATATGTAGCTGTGATAAGAAGAAAATATACATTATTTTTGATTTTCATAGTTTACAAATGACATTGGACTTACGGTATGAGTTATTGTGAAGAAAAGCAAGTATACACATTAATTTCGATTTGTATATATTAGTAACGACGCTGCACTGAAATGATGCATAGGTGTGATGAAAAACGTATACATTATTTTTCCATTTGCATAGTTTACTAATGGCGTTAGACAGACAGTATGGGCAGTTATGATGAATATTATGTATACACCTTATTTTTCGATTTGCATAGCTTACTAATGAGGGTGGACTGACTGGAGGGGTAGTTTTGATGTAAAGCTTTTATACATTATTTTTTTATTCGCATAGTTTACTAATGACAGTAGACGAAAGAGATGAGTAGTTGTGATGAAAAATAAGTCTTTCTTAAGATAAAAATAAAATCGAGTTCTCAAAATAAGAATTGATAATCAATGAAAATTCAGGGTTTTTTTTTTCTTTTACTGCAAATCTAGGTGTAGCTAATTACCAAATTGAGATCAAAAACTTTTATTACGCATAATAAAGGGTGTTCCTTTAAGACTAACTATATATATAAGGGTGTTTCATTAAGACGGATCAAAGTCAGCAGTAAATAAATCAATGTTATTGATGAAAAATTATTTATTTTCTCTATTGAATCATGTTATTTAAGTCAAGGCAATTATGTGTGGCAAATAATATCGCCCAAATGTCCACGAAATCTGAAAGAAAAGAAAAAAATAGACGTTTAGATTTAATTCACATTTAAAATCGGTTCAAGTTATTGTAACGCCCTTCATTACTGCTTTAGTCTGTAAAATGATGAATTGTTGTTCTTGATAATCCGTAAGATGAGGTCTTAAAAAGCCATCAGGATTGCTGTACCCACTTGCAGACAAACAAGGGAAATTTGCTCGTAGCCCTTACCAGAAAAATTAGCAGAATTAAATGCATAGAACTTGTATCGGCTTACAGTTATTCAGGAGCGAATCGGATATGCATATTCATTAAACCAGTCTACTCAACTCGTGCCGCGTACGAATTAGTCAGAGTGAAAGGGATTCCCATGTTCTTTGAAGCAGTCTATTCAACATGCACGCACCGCTTTGACCAGGAGTGAAACGGATTTGCGTGTTTGCTGGCCTTGTCTTGTTCAGACTTATTTTATTAACAAAAAAAGAAAAACAAAACAGGATGCAACACGGGAAGGCCTTGGCTGACGAGATAATACGCCATTTACTTTCGTACTATTTCTCAGATGAGGAGTTATCCTTATTTCGATTATTTACAATGAGACGAATATCGTCATCCTTCTTGTTATTTTCACGATGTTTCGGTCTTCCCCCCCCCGGCCTTCTTCCAGTGTCTTTGTTGTGGCCTGTTAGGGGCCAGAAAGAAAGACACGGAAAGAAGAAGGTAGATTGAACAAGTGTATTGAAATAACAGAACATATATACAAAATAAGAGTGTTATTAATCAGCAGATAGAAGTGTCCGTCCGAGCTGTCAGGTTACACTGCGTCCCAACTGCCTCGTTTAGGAAGTCTCGCAGGTTAGTATTTATGAAAGTGGAAGAGTTCATTGTAATGTAGATAGGTCACCATAACAGTAATCCGAATTAGATCTTCAAGGACTTTCAAATTAAATCCTTATATAATCCACGTGGGTGAATTTTTCTTGATCCGATGCCCATGTCAAGGGATATCTCGTCATCTTCGATTTTTTGTACCGCTCGTTAATCATTCACCATTATTTATACTAAGACTTTGATAGGTAATGAACTCGAAATCACATCAAATTCACGAACCAACATAATCCTCTGGACGATTGTGGGACAATTCCGAATGTAAACTTGAACTTGATAGGCTTAACCTTTTGAGCCGTGCGTTACTGAAAAATTTTAACGCTTCTGCTTAAACTTTTGAGTCAAAATACGCAAAAAATTGGTATGTAATGTTTCACGATAGATATTAAAATAGGTCATGTGTAATGTCAATCGACATCTCCAGTTGTCTTGATCTGTTAACTACCCTCATCTTTTCTTCTGTCACTCCAATCTGATCTTGCTCTAAATTTTCTGTAACCCCTTGCGTCCTAGTGGCTTCCCGCCTTGCTTGGGGTGAAATGCTTAAAAAAAAAAGTTACAAATGTTTATCTAACCGGTGGCTGGGCTTTAAGTCATTTTTCTTTGCCACTTTTCAACCGGTGGTTGGTCATTACATTATTTTTCTCTAACACCGTTAAAGCGGTGGTCAGGCCTCAAATGGTTAAACCTGTATGTTGCTACCTCTACTGCTGTCATTATGGTTGTCCACCTTCGCCTTCGGCTTCATTTTCTTACTGTTATTTCTGCTGAAGCCTTTTGCTGTGAAGCTCGGGTGTCTCCGTTGGTGTTTTTCTTTCTTTCCATATATACGTACGATATGAGAGCCATTACGGAATGAAAGAAAGAAAGATAAAATGAAATCAAGCAATGACATAATGAATATCTAGTCAAGTATAAACGGAGCTTATTTTAAAGCGAAAAAGCATCCTGGAATGCGATCGTTTCTTTAACCTACCGATTAATATTTCCCTGAAAACAGCACGCGTGATTTTCTCAAAGGACGTCAAAAGTACAGCTTCTAAATCAGGCGTGCTGACGTAGTCGGATATCTTCCGGTGGTTGCTTCTATTGAAGCTGACATTCAACTTCATTTCATTAACGGATGCAATCCGGGAGGCGAAAGATGCCAAATTGAAATTCAATTTACAATAGCAACGAACAACGTTTCAACGTCCACAGTGCCATAAAATGTTTGCGCATACATATCAACACCCGCGTAGTGTGCACAAAATACAAACACACACACACATATTTCACACACACACTACACACACACACACACACACACACAAACACACACATATATATATATATATATATATATATATATATATATAACGTTAATATCTCGAAATGCTATTTTTGTTTTTTAAATGGCTATAACATAAAAAAAAGGTATTTTTGAATAAATTATTTTGCTTTATTGCAACTATGCCTAGGTATATATATATATATATAATTATATATATATATATTATATATATATATATATATATATATATATATATGTATATATATATATATATATATATATATATATATATATATATATATATATGTATATATATATATATATATATATATATATATATATTTATATATATATATGACAATAATCTGATGAACATTT